CACGAGGGAATGCAAAGTGGAGTCCTGTAGCTCAGTGGTTAGAGCACTCGCTTTGCAAGCAAGAGACCTGAGTTCAATTCCAGGCAGGTCAGGGCGAAACCTTGGGCAAGTTTCCTTACTCCACACGCCTAATAATAATCCCTCCAAAACCAAAAACAATAATAAATTGGTCATTTTCAATCTACGACTGTTTGTGGGACATTGCTGTGCGCAATTAGCTGCTGCGGTCGCCACAAATATTCAGTCAATTCACTTTACAGTGGGTTCTGTGAAGCGCTTTGGGACGTCCTCCCGACATGAAAAGCGCTATATCAAATGCAAGGATTATTATTATTAAAGGGAAGCACTTGCAAGGGTATACAACATTCACTTATTATTATTAATAATATTAAGGATTTAATAGGATCCTTCATAGGATTTTATTATAAATGCAGTGACTCTGTTTTGTAGGTGAACGGTCTAGCCGATTCATGTACAGAAAAGTCCACAAGCTACCTAGAAGTGAATAACCAATTTTATACTCGGGGGGGGGGGGGGGGGGGTGGCTGATAGGGGCGGAATTGGTTGGCTAGGCCACTGGGAGAAACTCCTTTATTATTATTGATTAGATAACAAAATCATAAGAATGTAAGAAAGTACATAAAAATGTCTTCTCTCACGTTTCCCTGATACAATTGCGACATGCAACAGACAATCTACTCCACTATGGATTCAGTCCAACCTAGTCTCCCAAAGGAAAGTTCTGTAATAATGACTTCCTTATGTCTGAGTGTAATCAAGCGGAATATTCATTCATCACCATATCTTCAGAGTCTAGCATTGATCTAATGACCTCCACAGCCTACACCCAGTCTTCAGCAGCAGAGTACTTTACAACCTCAGTATATTTGCCTAGAAATACACTCACTGCACTTTATAGTAAAAAAACTTGTGTAGCGCTTTGAGACATCTCTCATGCTGTGCACAATTGGCTGTTGCATTTCGCCCACAAAATATAGTCAATTCACTTTATAGTATATTTTGTGAAGCACTTTAGACGCCTCAAAGATGTGATAAGGCGCTATATCAAATGCAAGGATTATTTTTACCTTAGCCTCCAAAAGGAAGTGGATAATTATCAGTATAGGGATGAAATTGAGGTTGTAAATTAATAATTAATCTAACTGCTTTTTGTTAATGGTATGTCCCGCATATCCACTACCCCATCAGATATAAACTTGTAATCTCTAGTCCTGCCTCGTCTTTTGGTAAGTGTTAAATTTAATCGCTAGTTCTGTATTTGTGGTCCAAATTAAGTAGCTGCCTTACAGTTGCATTGGCCTCCCATCTTTTTAAACACCTAGAACTTCCTATCCACCCAAAATCCAGTTAATCCAAAACTCGCCGCCCATATACTCACCCACACTAAATTCCGTACCCTCATCAGACCAGTTCTAACCAGCCTCCACTGGCTCTCCATCACCGAACAAATTGAGTTCAAGATCCTAACATTAGTCGTCAAATCCCTTAATTTCCTACCATCTCCCAACTGTTTACTTCCCAATCCACTGCCCAGTATAGGGATGAAATTGAGGTGCACTACCTCTACCCACTCCTCCACTCAACTGTCTCAGGCCTCCTGCTTGTCCCTCGTATCCTCCATTCTACCATCAGTGACTGCATTTTCAATTACTATACCCCGCAACTCTGTAACACTCTTCCTCTATCCCTCCACCTTGCCCCTTCCTTCATATTTCAGTGCGCAAAGCAGTTATTGACTAATAATATAATTTTCCAAACCAAGCGTGGTCATCTTGTGTTCTAGCTTTTAGACCCTTTTGGTGAAAATATCAGACGTAATCCAGACTTTGGCATTGGCTCCATAATCGACTGGTAGATGTTTTACGTTTTTGAAGCATTGCGGGTTTTTGACTTTCCTATTATGAGAATCTGTAGCTTATCTGTTCCAGTCATGTTGGTGATGACCTTAATTGAACCACAGTCTTTAAGTTGGTTACCCTCAATACAGAGTTGTCCCTTAATGCTGTAAGTTTTTGTCCCGAGTACACTTCGAACCAAAGTAGTTCATCCGCATTTTAAATACGGTCCAAGTGATAGTCCCACAGAATTTCCTAGAGTCAGGTCTTTCACTCTTCAAAGCTAGAACGTTGGCGGATTTAGCCTCACCACAAATTTTTTTATACACAAGAACATACTGAACATTCAAGCAACTAAACAACTCATTACTTGTGGTGAAATTTTCCATGCCTAGCTGATCAGTAAAAGCCCTGGCGTTCTCATTGAACACATCACAATTAATTGTGATAGTGGGATTTTCGGTGAGTGTTTGATTAAACCATGTCGCTAATGCATTCTAAACATCTTCATATTTTGCAGTTTTTCTTTTCCTCAGCTGGACGCACATGTCCCTGCTTCTTACTCGGCCTTTATGATCGCGGCAGATTATAACCAACAATGTAGGTTTGTTGTGCTTCACTGAGAAGGTTTCGTTAACTTACTTTTGGACTTTCCATTCTCAATTGCTCCGACTGCGCAATATTTATCCTCCATCACTTTCAAATGAAGTTTCCGTTTCATTCCAGTCATCGTGGTACAGCAGTGTGAACGGCACTCACAACATGGCTACTTTATGGGCCTAACCACCCTAACACTTGCCAGACACCCATGTGTCACACACATACACATGTAATCACTCATGCACACACGACTGACCCACTGACTCACTGGTCACACGCAACAATCAGAGCCTGTCGACGCAAGTGGTAATAACGCAATATACATGGGGACTTTGTCGTCATAAGTGTTTATGTTGAAGTAGACATACATGGTAATTTTAGTGGGTTCTATGCGAGGAAGGAGTGCAATTTTATGTCGACATAAGTGGGTTTGAGATAAGTGGGTAGGGCTGTACAGTATAAAATAATGAATGTAACAATATTCAAGGAGTCAAATGATCTTTAACAAGTCAGTAACCATACTTCATTAGGCATATATTTTTCACAGGGCTATATTTCAATGAACTGCAAATAAAAGATTTGCTTCCCCTGCATACAAGTGATTGAGCAATTCAGTTTTGAAAAATAGAACAATTTTTTGGAATATCCATCAGTTTTTATAATAAAATTTGTTTGAATATTTTCCGGTTGCTGGTTAACTGTGTAAACTGATAACGTTCATTTCTCCTCAGACAAGCCATTTGGGTTATAGTCGTTTCCGCTCACAAAATCCAAAACACCAGCTTATCTGATTGCACTCATTGCCTGTAAAACTTCACTAAATAGAGAGGAAAGTTCAGTGTCTGAAAAGGTTTGAGTGTGTAACAAGGGTGGAACATAATCAGGAAGGAGGGGTGGTCCTTCTGATTTAATAAACCATATGAGCACTTTCTGTAATTCTCGGGCAAATATTCAAATATTGTGTTCTCTTACGATATTTCCAATAGTCCTTAAAAGTGTTGTGTGAGTGTGATGCTTTACCCACATGCAAGTCAAGCAATTATACACAAATCAGTTACAAACACAATAGCTCAACGTGTTGGGAGACTTCACTGCCAAATACTGCAGTAAGACCCAGTGTTTTGCCTATCTTCTCTTACACACTCAACTTCCAATCAAGAAGGGAATCAGGGACCGGGAGAGGATTAGGATGGAGCAGAGACTCATGTGGATTATAAATAATGGTCCATTTTGGTACTGTAACTTATCACAACCACCCTCTTATCAAAAGGCAAAATAAAGCACAGAAACTTTCCCTTATCCAACAGAGAAAACATTGTTCTGAAACAGATCCGTGTAGATTTGCAACTGTGGCAATGTCCACAAAGGATAACACATTTAAATTGATTTGAACTTAAAGATGTTTTTTGTCCTCCACAGGTATTAGAAAATATATCCCTAGACTTTCCTTCCTCTTTAAGAGAAGTTTTCAAATTTTGCTTAGGTGTTTTAAATTTTTACAGTGAATTTTCTAGCAAATGGCATATGGCTCAGGCTTCTACAAACATGCACCAGAGAAAAAACACCCACTATTATATTATAATATGTTATGGTGTTAGCATATCAATCATACTACACTAAGTACTTAGTCATTCCAAAAGGCAATACGTAACAAAGTTGGAAAAAAGACTTTAAAGGTGTACTTTCTGCGGGAATACTTAAATGACCTACTTCATGTGGTTGCGTGACGTTAAATAAAAGCTAATTTGTAGATGACCCAATTTCAGAATAAGGCAGTCCATTGTTTCTTTAAAATGTTTTTTCACATATAAAGGACAGTAAGGTTAGATAAATGATCCCAACAATGACTTTAACAACTTAAAACTCTACACTTTTAGCATTCAATTTCACAAGACAAATCCAACAGGGAAAGTCATCCTATATAAAAAATAAAAGCACCAATGCCTTTGTGTATAAAATAAGTTGTGTCGTAACAAAATGCAGCAAAATTAAACTATCTATACAAACATTACTTTCATAATACACATAAATAGACCTGGGAAAGCATTCCCTACTTCTACAGAATTACCCTCTGGTATCTTTCAGCTGAAAATGCAGCACAATACAGTCGGCTCTTGTAAAACTCTTGTTTGCATCTACTTTTACTTAAGAAATGTTTCAGGACAGATTTTTACCCAATATGCACACAAAAATAAATTCAATAAACTGCACTGCTTCCATGCAAGAGCACACTGCAAGTTATATCAGGTAAATGTTATATCAACACAAACACAGCTTATATTAATAAAAACTCAGCTGGATGGGATGTTTACACAAAGAAATTATTCAAGTAAATTGCACAACAATATTTCATTGCACTCTACGAAAAAATGTATAGATGAATAGGAAAAGCCTTAATATTTATAAATGCAGAAGACATACATCTATTCAGCACACACTAACAGTTCATGGTTTGCTTAGATCAGGTTTAAACAAGCAGTTGCCACATAGGTAGAGACAAACAAATAGCGCAGATACGCAAAATATGAACGCTAAAGTACTTACATAAATTGGCACTTTGCGGTGACTTAGCTCCATTTCTCCTGCATCTGTGTATAGGAAAAAGAAAAGGGTTTACAATTTGTCCAAATAAAGCTACAGACTGGATTGATGCTGGTATCTTTGTACCATATCAAAACATATAAAGCTTTTTTGAAGAAAGAAGAAGCTCTAGAGGATACAAAAGAACTCACAGTTAGAGAGAAGAATCAAGACCTGCAAACAGTGCAGGTAATATCACAGCTCAAGCCTCTTGGCATTCAATTTACCAAACAAATGCACTCTCTCTAGCCTGCTATAGTAACCTAATGTAACACGTGCTCTCTTCGAGGAGAATCAGAGAAGTAGTCTGCAAAGCTTTGTGTCGTTTCCGGATCTGCAGACGATTATATAATCTGAACAGTTAGGGGAAATCACATTGTTTTTTCTCCACTTTAATCATCAACTGAATTTCCAAAAACTCAACTGTGGGGTGGGAGGGGGAGTTGGGGGGGGGGCATCAGTGGAGCACTCTGGCCGCCACAACTATAGGTTAAGCTCCCACGATCAGCCAAGCTCACCTTATTGTAAACGTAAAAAGAGGGCATCATAGGAAAGGAGGCACTCTCAGTATATATACATATATTTGTATGTAGACAGGATGACCAAAAAGTTATGATATCATGACAATGTCTAATAAGTCTTAAAGAAATGATGATTTTTTCTTAGATAATAAGGTCGATATCACGACTTTTTGGTCACCCTATATATATTGGACTTTGACTGTGAAAATACAGGGCATACCCATTATTAATGATAATAATAATAATCCTTGCATTTGATATAGCGCTTTTCACATCGGGAAGACGTCCCAAAGCACTTCACAGAACACATTGTAAAGTGAATTGACTGTATATTTGTGGGCGAACGCGGCAGCCAATTGCGCACAGCAATGTCCCACAAACAGTCGTAGATTGAAAATGACCAATTTATTATTGTTTTTCTTTTGAAGGGATTATTATCAGGCGTGTGGAGTAAGGAAACCTGCCCAAGGTTTGGCCCTGACCTGCCTGGAATTGAACTCAGGTCTCTCACTTGCAAAGCGAGTTCTCTAACCACTGAACTACAGGACTCCACGTTATTAAGCACTTAGCTGAAGCTTGGTTCCACTTTTAAAACATAAGTACCCTATGATTTCCATTCTAAAAAATCACTATCTTCTGAATTGTCAGATCACTACCTATGTTACTTCCTACACCTTGTGACATCATCGTAACCAGGTTGACCTCTATTCTAATTTTGTTAACAGTGAATGATTAGAACAAAAAATTGCTTGCAAAGAGTGTGAATGTGAAAGCTTTAATATGTCATGGCTATGTTCTACTCTTAGTTTATCACAATACTGCATTAATAAACAATTTGAAGGGAATGGAAGGGACTGACCTTCTTTGAATGTCAATAATCACGAGACCAAGACTAGCATTTTGCCCGCAAAGCAAGCTTATATTGTTTTTGTATAAACAAATCCTTCACCATCAAGACCCTGCCAGAACATTATTTCCTGCAGCTAAGAGTCTGCTTAATTGATCTTCCCTTACTTCTTACACAGGAACTAGTACAAAAATCAACACATGATAACAGATTCAATCTTAAATGGTAGCACACCCAGCACTAAGAGCAACATCACAAGATTCATCAGAGCTATTTCCTAAAGACACCAAATAATCTTTCCCTTTGACTTCACACAGAAGAACAAGAGAAACCTACCAGAGTTATTATTTCGTACGCACAGCACTCAGTACTGCAGTATTTAACATACTTTGTCCATGTTGAATGAAGCAGCCATATTGTAGTCTGGCTATAATTCTAATACAAACTGACTCAGTATATGAGCTGGCCCAGTCCAACAAATATTTCCAAGTCATTTTTTATTGAAAACGTTTGATAATAGCACTTCAAATAAAGAACAGGTCAAAGCACTTCACAAAGCTTATGTAAAATGAAGTGACTGTGCAATTGTAGGTGAACAATATAATTCAAAGTTTATGTAGCACTTTTCACGTTGGTTGGATATCCCAAGTCACTGGACAGTTTAGGGTTAGGATCTGGGGTTAGGATACCATCACAGTGCAAGTAGTCAATATATGGCAATACAATAATAATAATATTTGCATTTGACATAGCGCCTTATCACATTGTTGAGATGTCTCAAAGCACTTCACAGAATATAATGTGAAGTGTAATGACTGTGTTTTTTGGGCAAAAGTCATTTGTACAGACAGGTACGGATTAGCCACAAGCTTTCCTTTGGTAAGTACAGGACTTGTCAAACAGTGTCCATTTTTTGGTGAATTATTTGATAATCGATGCCATGAGGCATGCTTGCCTGCAGATAGACCTTTGGGCTTGACAAATCAATTTGGCTGGATCCCATTCTGAATAGTGCATGAGAGCCTCAATGTGGAGTCCTGTAGATTAGTGGTTAGAGCACTCGCCTCGCAAGCCAGAGAACCTGTGTTCGATTCCAGGGCAAGGCAAAATGTTAGGCAATTTTCCTTACTCCACATGTCTGTTTACCTAGCAGTAAGTAGGAACCCAGTTGTTGGTCGATTGGGGAATTGCTTTCCAGGGGTAATAATCCCTTCAAAAAAAACATAATAATAATTTAGTCACTCAACCCACGACTGTTTGTGGGATATTGCAGTGAACATTTAGCTGCCGCGTTTTGCCCACAAAATTTACAGTCAATCCACTTTACAGTATATTTTGCGAAGCGCTTTGAGATGTTTCGAAGATGTGATAAGGCTCTATGTCAAAGGCAAGAATTCTTCTTATTACTATTGATGAAACTTACAAGAATGTTCCAATCATCGCAATATCGCAAAAAAACAAAACTAACCCATCACGTGAACAGGTTTTGCAAAAATTTGTCAAAAATTATACTATGATAGAATGAATGAATCCTGGGCTGCACTGAGTTTGTTGGTCTCAGTTGGGGTTGCATGGGGAGGTTAAATAGGCTGTAGCTTTCCCAGGGTTAAGGAGAGGAACGCCAGCCCCAATGCCAGGAAGGCTGGGGCCAAACACCCTGGTTCCTGCTCCTGATACATCTATTTTACCTCTCATGTTGTTCACAAATGTGGTAGTCGAATGGGAGCGCTCAGGCTCAACTGTGACACTGTCTGCAGTCGAGCACCAACACTCACTACCAAGCCTCTCACCTGAACAATGGCCATTTGGGGGTGGGGTGGGGGGAGATACCAGAGGACCCCCAGTGCCCATGGTGGGGGTGCAGACCAGGTGCAGAGGGGAAAATGCCAATGGGGAAAAAATTCTAAAGATAATTGGAGCACGTGAAAAAAACATTAATATGATCCCATTCTGCGTCTCAGGATCTTCAACGTTTAACAACATAACAACGTGTTTTGTTACTACCTCCACAAGTATATCCCCATACACATGAATACCAAATAGTATTTTGCAAATATCAGTAACAGCCACTTAAAAGTCTGAAGTTCGAGGACAAAGAGTGCTTGGAGGGAGACTGCAGGATTGAAGTGCTCCACTGTTTGCACAGAAAGAAAACAGAGGGAAAAAGTGCTGATGGAGTCAATGTTCTAATTCAAACCATTTTTACGCTTCTGCAACAAGAAAGGCGTCAAAGTAAACAGTGTATTTTGCTACATAAGCAGAAAGCAATGGTTCAAGATGGTAAATAATAAAGTACAGTATTAGTTTCTTTATATATCCATTGGTGAGATTCAGACTTCCTCAGTGACTAAAACCATGAATGGTACATGCATGAAAACATGTTACCATGTTTGAGAGTCTCCAACTGGTGAAAACTTTCACACTCTGCATCCTTCCCCACACCCCCTAGATTTCCAACTCCTGCTCAAAGACCTGCCCCCACACCCACTGCCACCACACAAGTTGGGCATTAGAGTATTAAGTAGAAAATCAAGTTGTTGGCACTACCCGTACCACCTTAATGATAATTTTTCTGTCCCTGCCCTCCATAGCACAACAGGGCAGAAATCCTGCACCGTTTCTATTTATGTGGATTAGTATTATGTTTGCATATTGCAAAAAGTGATATCGTCAAATCTCAATTCAGTGCTGAACAAATGTAATAAAAACCAAGGTGGAGGATAAACAAGGACACATGGAACATGAAAGGCAAAGATTCCACCTTTGACAGAGTGACATAAAGCAAATTATTGTGTATTATACACGTGTACTGCTGCTCTCCCTTGAAATCGTACTGCCATGCCTTCTCTATGAGAATCGTCATAGCTTGTTCACCAAACAACTGACAAGCATGTCTGACTCTTGTCAGATTGGATAACTGATACCAGCATCTCATCCCGAGACATACAATGATCAAAACACCTGCACAGAGAGTGTGAATCCAATGCCACCCTCCTCCAGACGAAAACCATGATATAAAGTATAGAATGATAACTCGTAACAGTTGGAGGTGGAAAGCTTAAGCAGTACTTGCTTAGAAATCTCCGTACATACAGTTTCCAGATAGACTGAACAGGTGAAGGACTCCTAGTTAATCTTATTTTTATTTATTGTTTGTGGGGCCCTGCTGTGCATAATTAGCGACAGCGTTTCGCCCACAAAATACACAGTCAATCCGCTTTACAGTATATCCTGTGAAGCGCATTGAGACGTGTCAAAGATATGATAAGGCACTATACCAAATGCAAGGATTATTATTATTATCATATTCAACCCGGGCCATCTGTGAATCTGGACACCTCAATTAGAGCACTCTTGTACCATGCTCCAGTAGACCAACTCTCTTACTTACTCCAGTGAGGAACATTTAAGGCTTGTTTTCTTTTAAGAACTACTGAAATTTAGATATGCAACAACTTCTGTTTTTGCTTAAGATTGCCTTTCTGAATTGGCAAGTAAGATAAATAAATAGTGCAAAGCTCATAAACTTTGCATACAGAATCAGTAGGGAGAAGCATAAATAAGTTCAGAGGAAACAACGATCCCAAGAAAAGTGTTAGATGCAAGAAAATTCTAATTCCAGGAAAGCAATACTTGTCCCAGAAGGATTTGCTATTCTAGGCACCATTTGATGGAGCCAGAAACTGTGGCTTCTCTCCAATAGACTTTCCAGCCAGAGAGGAGAGAAGGACTGTAATACAGGTGGACCCTCAATGAACCTGAATGACAGATCCTGAAAATGCAGTAATTTTCTATACTAATAAAACGACAATGTCTGTCTGTGCTTCAAGAAGGATCTCAATAACCGATTGCCATAGAGACATGATTTATACCTCATCAGAAAGATCTTGCTTCTAGAAGTGACATGGGCATATTTGTTTTCGGATGCCTCCTATCGTTCATGAGTTATTTTCAGTTCTGCGTTTTTCACTGCAGTTACACCTGGTGGTCACCAAGTCAAAGTGGGACTGTGGCATCCTACGTCACAGAGCATGCACGTAGCCAAGCGTCAGGAACAAAATAAATAACACAGACAAAGCTAAGCCACGGCAACAACAACAAAATGACATTTTAAAGCACCAAGTCCTCCCAAAAGGAATCCTCCCACAGGAGTATAGATAAAGATGAAATGTCTGTCTGTTGTCAATCTACATTCCATATTGGACCCTTTGGTTGCAAGCGAAGCTGCAATGGGTACAGCTAGTTTTAAATAGATGGGAGATAGTTGGAACAAACTTTGGAGGACTGAAGCCATAAAACTACTAAGCAAATATTTCCATGTGATATTGTAGGCAACACTTTCTGCTGGTAACAAAGCCGCCACAACAGAAAATACTGCCGCAGAGCTCGGCTAATCCTCTCAGGAGACACACTGTCGAATGAAGACACTGAGTACTGCGCTATATTTAGTCTTCATTTCAGACAAGGTGCTGCTTGTGTGAGATCTTTATGGTCCAGTCACCATCTAGTTCCAGAAAATCAGAGATTAGATTACTCTGATCAAGATCCAGACTATCAGAGGAATTGCCAAAATGAAGCTTTCTCACTCTGGAGATGAATCCAGTAGAAAATTCTCATTAAATTGTCAGTTTGAAAGCTGCCATAAAACACAAGTAAACGTCAGCACATAGCCACAGAGCTTGGAGCTGTGATACACTTGGGTTTGTCTGCAGACTACTTGTGTATCTAAATAGCAGTAGGGTGTATGCTTGTCCTCCTGACGTGAAAGGCGCTTTATAAATGGAATCTTGTTGTTGTTGTTTACTTCTTTTGATAACCTGGATGCTTTTGCTTCTAGAGACGGAGTGAAACTGCCTCCAGAGGCAGTAGTGCTGCCTTGTTTATGATGCAGGACTGCAACCAAAAGCAGTACAGCTAATTTAAAACTGCCCTCAACATGTACTAGAACATATACAATACAAAATTATATTTGTAAAGCACCTTTCAGATCGGGAGGACGGGGGACATGGAGCAGGACGGAGCCTGCTGAGTGGAGGGAGCGGACAGGTTGATAAAGGGTTAGCAGGTCAGAGAGGGCAAGGCCATGGAGGGCCTTGAAGGTGAAGACAAGAATTTTTAACTTGATCCTCTGAGGAATGGGGAGCAAGTGGTGCCGTGCGAGAGTGGAGGTGATGGGGTCATGGAGCTTGGTGTGTGAGAGGACACAAACTGCAGAATTCGGGATCTGCAGCTTGTGGAGGGAAGAGTTGGGAAGGCCAACAAGCAGCGATTTGGCTAAGTCAAACCTGGTTGTAATGAAGGCATATGTATGAGGGTTTCAGCAGCCTGAGGGGTAAGGCAGTGGCAGAGTCAGGCAATATTGTGGAGATGGGGGAAGGCAGAGCGGGTCACAGCACGCATGTTGGGGAGAAAGGA